TTTTTGTGGTCCTTTAAATCATGTGCTTCCAGGGGTATCTGGCTGCCTGGCAGTTGCTGGGGTTAACATTGACTGGGAAGAGATTGGTCATTCCTCCCCTGAAAACACCATCCCCAAAGTAAGGCAGAGGTGCAGAGGGCCTCCAGAAAGGATTAGTAGGAGGTTTGGAAGTATTGGACCCTTAGAAGGCCAATGAGCACCTTTAAAAGGGTCTAGGGATGGATACAAGGGCTCAGGCTGGTATAAGGGACTGGGGGTTTGGTTTGAACAAGAACTTCCCCATAATTCATGGGGGTACATTCACCTGAAGACTGATTGGCCCATCAGTGTTCTTCGGTCTTAGAGAATTCCTAAGATGGGGCACCAGTCTGCCAGACCCTCCAGGGTTGAGCAGAATGGTGAGTGTTGATGACTCAGACCTCCTCACTCCCAGCTACCAGTTACCAGGGAGAAACACATTGATCAGGGAGTCTGTCAAAGCAGGATCTCCTTGTTTTTCTTCTATTATTAGTTTTGCATGCATATGTAGTGTGTTTGTGCTCTCTCTCTCTCTCCCTGTGTATGTCTGTGTGTGTGTGTGTGTTCTTATATGTGTGAGCACATGTGTATGTACAGGTACCTTGGGGGCCTGAGCTAAATACCTTTCTTGGCAATGCTCAGCTCTTTTATTGAGCCCAATGCTTGCTAAGCCTGACTAACTTAGCTAAACTTGATTCAGAGATCCCCAGACTCTGCCTCCCAAGTGCTATGATTATGGGTGGCTTTTCAAATGTTACATGGCCCCTGGGGATCTAAACACTGGTCTTCAGACTTGTGCAGCAATCTCCCCAGACCTAAGGTCTTTTCCACTTTCTTTCTTATATAGTATTTTCTATCTTTTTAGGCTGAAGAATTTCTAAAGAAATTCCACCTGTAGTCATATTAGTAGCCAGTGGTAAAATGATTCTGGTCCCTTCTATCTCTGCAGGCTGGTATGGCTTCATCGTGGTCTGTGTAAGGATACAGGTTTCCTCCTGGTTCTGCATATGTTTTCTGATGGCAGATTGTTGGCCATTGTTTTAACATGCACTATCTGCAGTACACAGTCTGCAGTGATTTTTCAGTTCTCTCGTGTGTTGACAATTAGATGGCCTGCAGTCTAGTGATGATCATCTAGGGACTTTCCCCTTGTACTGATAAAGATCCCTCTACCCTCTTTCTCCTGCTCTGGGCAAGCTTACAGGAATGCCTGTCTTTCTGTTTGCCTTTTATGACCTGTAAGATCTCAGAGCCCTGGCAATTTCACTCTTCATTTCTCTGTCCTATTACTTACAAAACTGTAAAATTGCATCAGCGACAACAAAGATTCCTGTGGGAATCCCAGCAGCCATGAGAGAAGAAAAGGTGAAGCCCAGACTTAGATGATCTATAACCTAACCAAAGAAATCCCTGAAAAATTAAGATTGGTACAATTCTAGAAAAAACCCTGGAGCTGGAATTTGCCTTGGCCTTTTCTATTCTAAGAAGAGGAGAGGCTGGTTTTCTGTGAAGAGCACAATGGTTCTAGCCATGTGGTGTGCTGGCTATCTGTGGAGCACATAAGACACACTGACTCTTGAACACCCCTAGGACTCTGCTTCCTAAACAGTTCCCCAGGAACCTTGATGCAACTTCAATGTGCAAAAAGAAGAGGCAGAAATGCAGAGGATCTCCTCCATAGACACAGAAGTGTCTACGCAGTAAACGTTTGCATAGAGGCAAGTGTGTTTGCATTGGTGCTAACAGGGAGTGGAGGAACAGATATCATGACTTCATGCAAATGCTGAGACTTATTTAAAATATGGCTGTTGGGACTGGAAAGAGAGCTCATCAGTTAAGAGACCTTGTTGATTGCTCTTCATGAAGCTTGAGTTAGATTTCTAGCACCCATGTGGCTCACAGAGTGCTGTAACTCCAGTTGCAGGGTATCTGGTGTCCTCCTCCAGCTCCATGAGTACCCTCACATGTGCAGCATACACTTAGACACATACCCATAAATAAAAACAAATCCCTATCTTTGCCTATACCAACTTTAATGTGCACAAGCACAGGACTGATAAAGAAAACAGGTATCCTCTACTGAGAGGGAAAGTGTGAATTTATACAACTGCCTCAGAATTGCACTTTTCAGTACCATGAGTACTAGTAAAATAGTGGAGATAAGTGGAATGTCTACCGTGAAGGGACTGGCCAAATACTGACAGCCTATCCAAGCAGAGATTCACTGCCCAACCTGAGGAAAGAACAAGTGAGCCATATGGATTTAGACAGAGTGATCTGCAAGGTAACCATCAGTTTGACAACAAGGTGTAAGGAATGTTTACACTGCACTGTGGTTTGTGTGAAAGGGTGAAAGAAAGCTGGGGATGAGATAGGCTAAGACACTGGAAATTTTGACCTGCTCCCCATGGAAGTGACAATTGAAATTGAACAGTTTGCTTGTTGGTACATGGAGAAGATGTACATTGTAAATGGATGAACACTGGTTGTATTTTATGAGGCTGGGTTTGAGTTAACTAAGAGGCAAGGAAGAGGTTTTTATTAAATCATGAATATGTTCTATGTATTTTTTTTAAAGATCACTAAAATTGTAAATCAGCACATGTGGCTGAGGGGTATAATTTTCCTCTTGCTACATAAGGAAACAGAAATACCCTGTTTCCACACCAAAAGCAACTAGACATCTTAGCTGTCTCATTTCTCCTACCACATTTTTTTCATAAAATTCCAAAAACTACATTGAGATACTGTGTTCAAAAAGCAAGTTCTAAAGCATATAGAGTCAGATTCAAGAACGTCACCTCTTGGTGACTATAGCCTCTGAGTCAAGTACATAGAAAGTTACGGTGAGGCCTGTTAGGTAGTCAGCAGGGTCTTAGTTAGGGTTTCTATTGCTGTGAAGTAACACCATGACCACAGCAACTCCTATAAAAGGAAAACATTGAATTAAGATGGCAGCTTAGAGCTTCAGAGGTTTAGTCCATTTCCGTCATGGTGGGACATGGCAGCATGCAGGCAGATGTGGTGCTGGAGAAGTAGCTGAGAGTCCTATATCTTGCTGGCAACAGGAAGTGGTCTCAATGTCACACTGATTGAAGTCTGAGCAAAAGAGACCCCAAAGCCCACCCCCACAGTGACACATTTCCTTCAACAAGACCATGACTGTTCTCCAAGGCCACACTTCCTAATGGTACCACTCCTTTTGGAAGCCATTTTTTCTTTCAGACCACCACAGCAAGTAAAGGCCAAATATGACCGGCCCAGGTTTGATCTCTGGAACTCACATGGGAGGAGAGAACTGGTTTTTTTTATAAGCTTTCCTTCAACCTTCACACGTGCACCGTGGTATGTGTACACACAACACCCACAGTCAATACTTAGTCAAACAGCCAATAAATAAATAAATGTAAATTAAATAAAAAACACAAAAGGGGAACACTGAAGAATAGAAACATTGAGCCAGACATGAATATACATGTCAATGCCAATGGCTGAACCTCTGCTCCTATTTCACAGAATGCTAGTTGTAGGGGAAACATTGTAAAGCATTTCCTTAATTACTCAGTATCCAAGTTGGACTGTCCAATGGGATGAAGGTTACATTTAGCTTCAGCTTTAGCTAGTATTTGTGTAAAGTTAGTTAAATTTTATGAATTGAAGATTTCAGATGGATCCCATGTCTCAGGAAAGCAAGTGGTCCCTAGGCAGACACCAGAATGTCAGGGTGGTGTCAGTGCCATTAGTGAATGTGAGTTTTCAACAAGGTGGCAAGAGCTCTTTTAGCAAATGGTAAAGATTCTTCTGCAAAGAATTCAGTGGAGGCAACTTGCATATTTTAAGATGAGTAGAGGGGAAACCCTTTTCCATTTCAAACTTTATACAATTGTTTTCAAGGTACAGAACATTCTTAAGAGTGTTATTTGCTCAAGGATCGTTCCTATAGAGTCAGGCCTGAGGTATGTTCTGAGGAAGCCTACAGCAGGGATGTCTACAATCAGTACCTACCACACACCTCTTTCTTAAAATACAGGTACCAGCGTGTAGGTGTCCTGAAGTTTTGATGCAGCTTACATGAACTTCTATTCATTGGACAAATGTATAAGTACAAATTTTCATAACATAAAACCAGGAAGATCAAGGAGACACCCGAGCAATTTGTCTAGTGCTGTGTGTGATGTTTCCCCATTCTTTGAAAGCAGTGTTCAGCTATCTAAAGTGTTGTGTGCATGCCCTTTCCCAAGCCTTTCTGTGTAGTGAAAGCTTGTTCTGACCTGCTTTGCAGGTCTCCTGGGACAGTCCCTACGCTTTAGAACTCTCTGCTCAGCTTCACTTAATTAAAATGATCACTCTTTAAATGAACCTAAGGTCAAAGTGAACCCTGTCTCCCTGTGACTGCAGGATCTAGGCCGCTGCTTCCTGTCCTGCAGAGTGGGATGACCTGAGAGCACAAGGTCACCTCTGACTGGTGCTTTCCTGCTGCAAACCTCATGCAGGTCTCTTGGCCACCTCCTCAATTCATCCCCACCAACACTCCTTGAAGTGAACATTCAAATGTTGTTTTACCCCTTTGACCAGTGAGAAGTTGAGACTCAAAAGAAATGTACAAAGCGGCCTGCTTTGACTGGAATGAATGCAGGAAAGGGGTTAATAGAGAGAGCAGGCTGAGTGCAGCAACTTTGTGCCTGCCTTAGGAAGAATGTCTGGAAGTCTGAAGAAATGGAATGTGATGGTGCATTTGTGTTCAAGTGGATGTCCCTGTGCAGACCTTCAGGGGTCTTTAGTGAATTTCCCAGGGCAGAGCTTTAAACAACACTTTTATTTCATCACAAAGAGCCTTTGGGGCATGTAGGGATAATTTGACAGACTGACCATTATTACCCAAGCTGGAGATGCCCCTGCCTCACAGTCTTGTGGAATACTGTTGCCTCCTGCTCTCTTTTTTACATCTGAAAATTAATTTAGGTCTTTTCTTTCATTAATAGCCTACCGTTGCTGCCAAGAAGCCAGATGCAGATGATGTTGACATGAGCTGTTCAAACTCAACATCCAGCAAACTCCTCTCTGCTGAACTCAAAGCAGAACCTGAGAAAAGCTCCGGGACTACGAACCAGGCAGTGGTGGCTAAGGGCACCATGAAAGCCTCTGCCTTGTTGCGAGGCAAGAAAAAGCTCTAAGGCTCTGTCCTGTGCTGGCCAGTACAAGAACAGACCACTCCTCCAGCACTGAAGGGAGGGGGCAGGAGGGAGACAGCGTAGCATGAGCTTTTAGCCTTTGGCTCTGCTGAGTCCTGCATGGGTTACATCAGTTTAAAATTGAAGCTAGTTACCAAAGCAGCATACATAACCTACATGGGGCACTAAAGGACAGTGCGGGCATGCTTGGGGCAGGCTGCTGCGCTCATCAGCTCCAGGTGTTCCAGGGTCAAGGGACAATTGCTCTCAGTGCAAGCCTGGGAAAATACTTGCTCAGTTCCACTCAAACTCTTATATTTAGGTACAGTTATTTATAAGGGAAAACAAGAGGCCAAATACAGTGATGGAAGTTCTAAACGATTATGTGCGCTTAGCACTAGGAGACCTGGTTAGGTTACTAATAAAATGGCCACAGGCATTGTGGCAGAAGCGATGTAGTCCCTCACGTGTCCTTGTTCTAGTTGCTATAGATTATTTAAGACAAGTTATTTTAAACATAGAAAAGTGGGACATTTTATAATTGCTTGCATTGGCTTCCTGCTATACTCCCATCGTATTGATGTCTTCATGCATGCCATTTAATGTTAAGGAGAGGTGACTTTAGAAAGTCCTCCGAATGCTTCCCAGACAGCTAATGCTGGCCTGTTGTCTCTAGGGAAGGAGGAGACTGGACAGGAAACACGTCATGAGCTGGTGTTGGAGGTTCTCTTTCCTCCACGGCTAACAGCTCTGCCACTGCAGGTTAAGTAGAGTAAGCAGATGCCTCTCTCGGCTTCTCAAACAAAATTTTAAAAAGTAATTTGAATTTGTTTATCTTTATAAAGTAATAACCCGTTGTATTCCAAACCCCACAGGATTGTCAAATTGTCTCCAAAAGAACCACACCCATAAACTGACTCAGAAGCTAAAAGAGGTGTGTGCACCCCTCCTGTTACGAGTTCACAAGGAACCACAGTGGTCAGTCAGGTCAGCCACATTACTCTTTGTCTTAGTTCCTTTTCTTTCTATTGCTGTGGAAGATACCAGAACCAAGTCAGCTTATAGAAGAAAGTTTATTTGAAGCTTGTGGTTTCGGAGAGCAAAGGCATGGTGGCAGGAACAGCTGAGAACTACTTGATCTACAAGTAGGAGGCAGAGAAAGAAACACTGGGAAAGGTGCTGGCTTTTGAGACATCAAAGTCTGCCCCCAGTGACACACCTCCTCCAACAAGGCCACCCCTCCTAACCCTTCTCAATGAATAGCACCAACAGGGACCAGCTATTCAAATATGTGAGCCTGTGGAGGCCTTTCTCATTCAAATCGCCACACCCCAGCATTCTTCATATGTTCACACTTCTCATGGGGAAACTACCATTCAAACATCCAAAGTAAATTAGCTCTTATTTAAAATTAAAGTTGATGGCTGGGGAAATAACTCATTTGGCAGGGTGTTTGTCATACAAACATGGAGACCTGAGTTTACTGAAGCCACCTCTAAAACAAACAATAGGCACGGGACACAAGCCTGTCATCCTGGTGCTGGAGAGATGAAGCAGGAGGACCCTGGGGCTTGCTGGCCAGTCAGTCTAGCTAAAGTGGCAAGTTCCAGGGTCTTTCATCAAAAGTAAGGTAGAGTGCTAGCGGGTAGCTCAGCTGGCAAAGGTGTTGCCACCCAAATTAATGACATTATTTCAACAGTCCACAAGGTAGAAGTATGTATGCCCCCCCCACACACAATTAATTAATTTTAAAAGTCAAACTGTGGCCTGGCATGACCACACACACCTTTAATCCCAGCATGCAGGAGGCAGAGGCAGGCAGATCTCTGTGAGTCTGAGGCCAGCCTGGACTACAAAGTGAATTCCAGGACAGCCAGGGGTACACAGAGAGAGTCTGCCTCAAACAAACAAACAAAAACAGAAAATAAAATAAAAACCAAACCAACAAATATAATGAAGTTGAAAACAATTGAAAAAGACACCCAATGTCATCCTTGAGTGTATATGTACACGCATGTACATGTACCAGCACACATGCACATATATACACACTCATGACTGCATGCACCACACATCAGATCACACACAGAAAAAAGGAAAGAAAAAGCTAATTTGGGAGTTGACTCAGCTTCTTCAAGCTCTTTGCTTCAGGAATTATATTTGCAGTCCTACAGGAGCCTTTGAGGAACAGACTTTGTCCACCTGTGGAGGGCCATGGCTGCACAGCTCAGGAGAGGGCTCTCCTCAGGGAATTCTCTGGGAAGTGGACAGCAATGCTGCACACCTCCCCTCAGTGGGAAGAGCTGGGGTCCTCTGGACGGCCAGTTGTCTGTCTCCCTTTAGAAAAGAGCAACTTTGATTCTGCCTGGTGTGTTTGTGTCTTTTCCTATCCTATATCAGTCGACGCTGGTCTCTTTCCTGTCATAGCATACATTCTGTCAGCCTCCAGCATGCCTCCATCTGGCTCATATGGAGCATTAAGATAGAGTTTAGCTCTCTCTTCTGAGAAGGTGTCCATATTCCATTTATCTGTTTGAATGGAAGCCATGTAGGACAGATGCTCTGTGATCTTAGTCTCCAGCTGATGGACCTGTACGGTGTCTGAGCTCCATGGCCTTTTGGTCTGCGTTTGCCTCCATAGCTGTGGGAAAGCAGTTCCCCCATGTCCTATGGATTTTCTGTAACCAGTAGGCCACCTCTCAAGACCAACATCAACCTCTCTGCACTTCCTGGGCCCCACAGCATGGAGAATCATGCCATTTGGCTGTCACCTGGAAGGACACCCTCTGCCTAGAACAGTCAGAGCGAGTGTGATTTCCAAGACAGCAGAAACTGACCAACACTCTCACTTGAATGGCATGTAAGGGATGAAGACTAGCAGAGAGGAATATAGGCCTGGAGCTGGGGACAGGCAGCTGAGAATGAAAGCTGCTGTCAGAGAAGAGGCCTTAGGAAAGGAAAGAGAGGGACACAAGGGAACGCGTGTAGTCTATGAAACCAGATGCCAGCACATGGCTGTGTCAAGCTCAGAAGCAGATGTCAGAGGTAGGAACATTGCTCAAGGACAGTGTGTCCTCTGGGCCAGGTGACATCAGATGAGCCCCTCCACAGTCTGTTCATAAGCAAAACCAGACAGGCCAAAAAGACAAAGAGCAGGCAAATAGAAGCTGAGAGAAACAGGGGTTTTAAGAGCTGGCCACAGAATGGGCCGAGGTTTCTTATTAGAAATGTTGGGAGGGGGCAGCAGGTTAGGGGGAAAAAGCACTATGTGCTTATCATAGAAATACTTTGTTTAAATAATTCTATTTGACTCTAAAATGTAAGTTTCAGGTTGGACAGACCAAAGCCAGTCAGTCTTGAAAATGAAGCTTTTTAAATTCCGGCCCTGCTGCTGGAACAGACAATAAAGGCTTTGTTCAAACAGGTATTCCCAGCAGGAAGCCTGGCTTTGAAATTGGCCAGGGAAGTTGTGTCTTATAAAGGCTGCACTTGGCTGGAGGCCAAGAAGCTGTGGCCTCTGGGAAATGACCCTGGGCTGGTGCTGTGGTTTGAATATGAAATATCCCACAAGTGACAAGTGTTTGAGCATTTGGTCCTCAGTCCTCCGCTGGTGGTGCTGTTTGTTGTAGTACCTTTAGGGGGTTGTGCAGCCTTGCTGGAAGAAGTGAGTCACTTGGGGCAGGTCTTGAAGTCTTATAACTTGGACCCACTTGCTGTTCACTCTCTGCTCCCTGACTGCATGTGCAGGGTGTCTAGCCAGCCTCCCTTCCCTGCCCTGCGCCTTCCCTTGCTCTGTGGTATGTCTTTTCTTGAGCTGTAAGCCAGAAGCCAGAATAAACCTTCTTTCCCTTTCTTATCAGGTATTTTGTCAGAACAAGAAGGAAAGTCACTAAACAGTCCTCTACCTGTCTTTCCAAAATGCCCTCTCTGCTTCGCCATCTCCGCTGACCTTTAGGGACAAGAGTGTTGGGCTCTCCTAGTCCCTGGATTGCTTGTGATTCTTTTAGTAGAGGTGTCAATAGGTCAGAGGGTGGTTGGAGATCCAGACATTGGATGCTCCCCAACCCCTGCCTATGTCCCTCCTGTGGAACTTTGTCTCATCCCTTTCGATGGCCCAGACCCCTCCTGGTGTGCTGCTGGTGGGTGCCTTGAAGGCAAGACCAGTGCCATGAACTGGGAACTGCAACTTGCTCAGTCCCTTCATATAGCAGCTCTTCCCCCAGCAGTCTCCTTCCCATTCGAGTGTGTGTCTGCCTCCTGTGACTCAATGCGACCCACACTCTGCCCTTGCTCACCCCTCAGTAGTCCTGACCTAGGACAGTTTGCCCCTGGTTGCCAGGCTCCTATCAAATTACAGGATAGTGAGAAACACAAAGCCCAAATGAGTTCTTCCTGAAGACACAATGTGCCTGGGTGGCCACAGCGGCTGGAGGAGGGACACAGGGGTGCTATTGCTGGAGTTGGAACCAGGCCAGTGAATCTGAGGTCTAAAATGGCCTAGGTGCTAGTTTCTGTGTGTACACATATATACATGTACTCACACAAATGTGCACAGAGGGGGGGGGGAGGGAGGGAGGGGAAGGAGAGAGAGAGGGAGAGGGAGAGAGCCTCCACGGATGGGCTACAGGTAGACTCCAGGAGACCTGCAGTGAGATGGAACCCTGGGCTGGGCTTTACCACCTCCCCTTTCTCCAAACACTAAAATCCCCTTACAAAAACCTTTTAAACTAAAACACCACCATTCAAAGGCCTCACATAATTCAGCTTTCCTCTTCAGAATCATATTTTTTTCTGAGCGAGCCAGTTTTGAACTGATTTTGATTTCCATGCCATGTATTGTTACCACTTAATTCTCGTTGGTGAGCCAATTTTCTTTGCCTTTGTTCTTCAAAGGAAAGCCACATTGAGTGGCTGTCTTGCATTTGTGTGGGACTTGCTATGCCAGTTCTCCGCATTTCCCTAAGTTATCCAGAGCAGCCCTCTGGGGGAACAGGCAAGGTGGGTGCTTCTACTTCTGCCCCAGGATCAGCCTCACTCTGAACAGTGGCACAACGCAGAAAGTAGGCTACTAGGAAGATGAATA